AAAAAAAAAAAAAAAAAAAAAGAAACGCAAAGTATTAATGGAGATTCTCGAGTTAATGGGATCTGTACCGACCGAACATTTTTATTAAGATAAAATTAGTCGAGGAGTGAGCCGTCGAAAGCCTGATTCGGTCGTTTCCTCGATGAAACGACAATGCAGCGCCTCCAAAGAATTAAGTATTGTGAAAAAAGAAAAAAAAAAAATACGAAAATCTCCACGCCGTTTAATCTCGTCTATCTCGAGATCTTGGGGAGAAAGTCCTATATCTATATGTATATCAATTAGGATTATTAAAGATTCTAGTCATCTAGTCATTTAAGAGATATCAAGTAAAAAAAAAATGATCGTGCTTTCATCATATGCGCTGTGTACATTCCTTTAATCCCTTCTCTTTCTTTATAATCATAGTAAAAGTCTGTAAAGTAACGCGCGTCGAATATGATATCTAAAAGGCGCGAGAAATTGAACGAAATTAATGGAAAATTATGATAGTTCAGGAATGTTATTCTGTAATTATTTTGTAATTATTATATATATATATATATATATATTAATATTTGAATTTGACCATGGCGCATTTAAGTGAATTATAGGATAACAGTCGAAGTGACAATCGTGAATGTTACTGAATGCAAAATAAAATTGTTAATAATTTAAACAAAAAGTACTTTGTAATTTTTACACGAATACGAAACACAAAGTAATCTCATCGACCGTGTCCGGCGACGTATAGAAATAAAAATTGAAGAGAAAAACGAGTAATGACTCTCATATATGATTTTTTATAATACACCCTATATATGCGCATTCATATTTGAGCATTTATCTTCGAAATGGTATGAATAAATGGGGGTGGCACAACACGCTATACACACACACACACACACGTATATATACGTATATGGTTAATTATAATGCGTGATGCACCGCAGGGTCTTTCCACCATGGGGGAACGCTTGCGAAGGGAAGCAGCTGGTTCATGCTTTTAATGGCTGTCATCCTAGCTGGTCATTTCGATAATGGTAACTAATACTGGTTTCTCAGATCTGCGTTAAATCGAACATCGATTAAAACCAATCTTGACCGACGAAACAAAAAACGATTCGAAAATGTCACATCCATCCATCACGATTCTCGTTTCCCACTTTTAACCGTTAAACCGTGTAATTATATTAATCGAAGAAAAAAAAAGAAAAAGTATCAAGAGTTTTATATCGAGAGAGAGAGAGACGAAAACGTTCAAATCCTATATTGTCGCATTCGAATATAATTGGACACCTAAAACAGGACGTGACTTCATCGCGTTATTGTATCCAAGATCGTTAAGGACCGGGTCGTTGCGATATCCAATTACTCGGGAAAAGAGAGAAGAAGTTCTCTGCGAGTAAAGCAGAGGGGGAGGGAGAAAAAAGAAACAAAAAAAAAAAAAAAAAAAAAAAGGGAAAAGAACGGCGACGACGCGTTGTTACGGCAGGGTCGAGGCAAATTGTAGGAGAAAAGAGGAGGAAAGGAAGGAGCGAGGACGACCACGCCATCGTAGATCATATTTTCGCTTTGGAATATATCCCCTTCCCTGACACGGTTTATGAAAATCCAGGTGCGCGTACCCGTGTGCTTTTAACGAGCGTTTATCGTACACGTGTAACGTGGAACCCCACCGCAGCCTTAATTGATTGAATTAGCCGAGGAACGAGCTTACGTTGAAATTACACCTGACCCCGGCGAACTTCTGATGGATCGATCTTGATGGATCGGCCGACTCGTGGATGCCCGATCGATCAAACCTCCTTTCCTTTCCACGGAACAGGGGTTAATCGATCACTTTTTACACGCCATCGGGTTCATTAACGGTCATTTGACGTAGGTCCGCTCTTCGTTTTTTTCCCCCGCAAACTTTTATTCGGCCAACGCATGACCGAGCGTTTTCGGTGCCTGGCCTGGGCTAAAAATATTTTTCGAACGTTCTTTTCGCCGACCGAGAAGTCGATAAACGAATTAAGACGATTCCAACGGGATCCTTTATATTTCAAATAACGCAAACGTAACGTAAATGCCTCGCTGTTCGTCCGGGGTTAAACGTTGATTGCAAACTCGTCCGTGATGAAAAAGTGATAAATCATCGATCAAACGTCGAACATAAAGGAGACGAGTTTTAAACACTTTCCTAGTTGGTGGCCAAAGTGTAACGGACGAGTGGCCGTTGAATGAAAAATATAACGCGTTACGCGATAATTCTTGTCGATGCTGAAGAATAGTAAACGAGAAGGATGAATTACGAAACGTTGGTAACGATGACCATAAATGGCCCCCTAACGAACTTGTCCAGTTCCATTTCGCTTTCTAACGGTAGCACGCGCCTGTTCTCCTCTTTCTCTCTCTTCCTCTCTCTCCAACTTGGGCCAGGCATTAACTAATATCCTGTAAACACGCATATATTCGAGAGGGGAGTAACCGACTGGTCTAATTAAAGGACATTCATATCGAGTGGGCCAACCCTTCGAACCCTTTCTGCTCGTGTTCGCGGAAACTGGTCCGGATGACCGTTTGCCCCGGCACGTGAACGAACATTTGCCATTTTCCTTCTCCAACCTTTTTTCTTTCGAATATTTCATTAATCACTTTGAAACGTCAGGGAGTCTAGGATCAATCGATGTAATCATGCAAATTTNNNCTCGTATAATTTATAAGATATATGCTGAATAAAAGAGGGAGAGGGAAAATNTTTTTTTTTTTTTTCTTTTTCAAGTTTTCGATGCGAACGAGATTGCTTTCCTTTTTTTTTGTTCCCCTCCTCCCTATTTTAAATCAAAAGCTGGAGGATATTCAACGTATATACAAGGGAACATACGCCCCACTGAAGACAAAACAAAAATTAAACCGAGTCGGGTACGCGGGCGCAAGAAAGTGCACGTGTCGATGGTTGGAGAGGAAGTGGGAATTATAGGAAAAAAGGGGGAAAAGGCTAGCCTGTTTCTTGCATACGTGTCGATACTGGATCGTCTGTACGACGATCCATATGGTGTGTACTTGCCGCGGGTGAACCGCACTCGATTGCGCGTCTTAAACCATCGACAGTAAATACCGTTCGAGCAACGAGCGCATGCATAAATGGACGGCCACATAAATCCGTCGATTGGTGTCGATCGAATGGGATCGGCACTCGAGAATTGTACGAGGCGAAAGAAATTAAATCGATTGGAGAGACGAGACGAGATCTTGGAATAATCTTCTGTACGAACGAAAACCCTAATAACGAGGAAAGAAAGAACCGTGTGCGTGCGTGTATGTGTGCGTCAGAGGGGAGGCAGAAAAATCCTTGGAAGAGGCAGTTTCTGGTCCCGATGAAATTTCAACCGGGCCACTTTCCCCCCCACCCACGAAGCTTCGAATCGTGGAAGGATCGATTCGCTCGGTAAGTTATATAGTTACGAGATGCAAGTACGTTTGCGAGCGTGTGGCTCGACGACAGATGTCCCACGAGCACCTCGAGTCCACTCCGTTCCGATGGACCGACACGCACCGCAAAAACTGATCGACCGTGGTGAGAAGGGTTACGTGCAACGATCCACCATCCTCCTATCTCTCACGGTGGAGATTCTTCTTCTTCTTGGGAGAATCGGTGCGGCGCGAATTGCCGATCGGCCGGTGGTGAGCATCGACGACCGCAGAATCGATAATCCTTATTTTCTTCTCGTGGCGCGTCTTCAACGCCACGTCGATAAGAGGTCGACGCCGTGGTAACGTGGACCCGTCGGTTTTACGAGCAGTGGAAACGGAATTGTTAGAGGAAGGGTGGAGAGGGAGAGAGAGAGAGAGAGAGAGAGGATGATGAACGGGGCTGGAAATAGAAAGAAATAGACGACATCGGTGTGGTTAACGGCTTGCTAGGTTTTTGAGCAAGGGAGCATCGTTGGCAGGATGCCTCGCCTAGATCCTGTCTGGAGGCCGGAGAGAGGTCCTTCGAAGCGTGAAATCACTTCCAGTCTGAATATAAAGAGCGAAAAAGCGAGTGTCCGTTTGTGTTTCGCTCGTTCCGTACCACCGCCTTCGGAACTGCCTTGGAAATCGTTAAGCGCCTGCTACGCTTCTTCCCTCCTTGCGCGGAAGCCTTTTGCGCCGTGCTCAAGCCTCGCAAAAGTCGTTCCGCGTCTCGATAATCGTTCAAACCATCCTCCATTCCTCGCCGCTTAAATCTTCGGTATTAACACGAATGGTGAAAAAGGGATTATCAAAAATACTTCTGGATACGTTGTTACTTACGAAATGCTTAGAGATGAGCCATGTTTCTTGAAATTTCCAGAACAATTGATTTTTTTTTTAAAAATTTTTTCCCTCGAATCGCGACATTACGAGATTTCATTTATAATCTCGTTCGATCGAAGTACATGCACGAAAGCGGCTAACAGCGCTATATTTCATTAAAAATCGTACGAAAGGAAATTCGAGGAAACGTACTTAAAATTCCAACGTTCTAGCAATTCTGTATTCTGGCCGAGGTCCATTATCAAAGAGAGAAGAGACTTCTCGGTCTTGGTTCTCGATCGGTCGGTCGAAAGTGCATCATCCACTCACAGATAAGTGGTAGCGGAACGTCGCGATGACTGCGCGATCCCGGCGTTTTAAATTTATCGCGAAACGGGCAGACGTTCTTCCGCCAGTCCCTCTAATGTATCCCTCGCGGGCTCTTAACGCGAGATACGCGTCTCACATCCTCCCTTGCATCGTGCGGATGTACCAGGACAATTTCAATTAAAAGGCACGAAATCGTTGGCCGCTTCCCTTTATCGAAAGGGGACCGGGCCAAAAATATTTCTCCGAACACCGGTCGTTCGTCTGCGTCTGCAACTGGATTATTTTTAACTTTACTCTGTCGCCTAGAACGAAAGATTTTTTCGTCGACCAATGGTAGTGGGAGACCGGGTGCTCTCCTTCGCACTTCGAGGTACTGCCTTTTTTCCGGAAATAGACTTCCTTTCTCCGAGTTAAACACGCACACCACCGTACACCGAGCATTTCTGCGTATATGGGCCACGTACGATCCAATGGTTTACACATGGTTACGGTGCATGTATTTCAGAGCCATGCCGCCTCTTTCACTTATAAATAGACATACGTAGATGGATTAAGCGTATGGAATGCAGTTCGATGCACGAGGGGTTTTAAAACGTGGAAGCGCTGCAAGCGTTCTGCACCTCGTAAAGAAAGCGAAAGCTTCAGTTACCGCGCGAAACGTTGCGCAGAGCGTTTGCCGTTGCTGTTCGCGAAATTCATTTTCCAGAATTCGAAACGTTTGTTCGACATGCTGGCTGCGAGACACAGGTGAGGTCACAACGGTACACACGAATGCTTCTAACTGTTTGCTTGCAACGAGAAAAATATTATTGCCTTCCTTTTATTAACTTCGTCCAATTAATCGATTAATTGGAAAAATAAGGAACGATGATTGTTGGGTGATATACGTATTCTTCGTATTAATAAAAGTGAAACTTTGACACTGCGTGCCAGCTTTCCCTCGCGATAAGGCACATCCCTTCGGACACCATAGATCCTGTCGTGTTGCGGTCGTTCCTGCATCCGGTAACTCACGAGAGAGGAGAGAGAGAGAGAGTACTGGTGACTAACGTTTCATACGGGATTTAACAGTGTAACGTTACATCGTTGGTTTGGTCTTTCCTGTGCTCCTCGAGTTCACAAGCCGAGCTTGGATTTCTCCGCGTACGAAAGAAGAGGTTATCGTGCGAGGGTTTTAAATTCCGGACAGGTTGAATGCACCCACAGCAACTGGAAGACACATTTCTTTTCACTCTAACGATCTCGATGAAAAACAGTATCCAATGGATTTTTTCATTGTTGTTGGTAGAACAATGGTAGAACGAGATATATTTCGGTGTCGAATTGCTCGATCGATACAGATCGAAATCAACGGAAAATTTCGAACTCGACGAGTAGAATAACGCAAGAGTAAAAAGAATAGAAAGTTTTATAAATATCGGATTGTAACTAGTAGATATAATAAGTATTAGAAAGTCTGGTAGGTCAGGAGGCGCTCTGTACGCTGGTGTTTTCACTTTCTTATCGTTTGGCGCCACTGTCGCATTTGCGAATCGCGCAGCACAATAGATACAAAGAAATTCGAACGCGAAACTCTTTTCGTCGATTACGTACAAACGTGTTATATCTTGGTAGACAAAATATAGTGGAATTATTGTCCTTTTATCGGCGAAACGAAATAAACGTTTGGAAATCTATATATAGGCATAATGATAAAAAAGTGGCGAGATTCGTGACGGAGGGAAGTCGTAAAATTCATCGAGTCCACGTGACGCATCGCTTTGTTTCGATGCTTGTATATTTCTGCAATGGAAAGTCTGAGAAGAGTGTCGTTTGTTAGACGATACGTGGGCCGAGTAACGTCACTGACCTGCCGCAAATGGGTGAACGGTGCGCGAACACGAAATAAACGTTAGATAGAAATCCACAGCTGCGTCCGCGACCTACGTGAATCTATTTTAGTCCGAACGGAATCGAACGGAAAAGCCGAACGGCCATTTAGATTCGGTGGGTGGACTTAACCTATTTTTAGTGGCGCGTACTCATTGTCTCGAATTTACTATCGAAAATATGAGAATGATCGAAACGGATAGCTCTCATCCGGAGTGTTCGAGTCAATGCAACGCAAAAAAGGAACAGGAAGTGTGCCAATTTTCGAGCAATAATTTCAAAATCGTTATGCTACGCGACGGCCATAATGTGATTGCGCGTCGTAACTCGTTTGCTTCGAGTGAAATTTCGAGTGAATTATCAAAACCTCTTGGTGAATTTTTCACCGTGCATTCTATTTTCTTTTAAAACAGTTAAGCTATCATTGTATGTAAATGAAATACTAAATATAGGTAGGTGTCAAAAATTGATATTTAAATGCTCGTTAATATGCAATTTTTCATAAATTATTCCGAATATACAATGTGACCGGATACTCTCAAGACCAACGGTATACGATGATTTCTCGTTATTATCGTGGAATGTCAGGTTAACGAACTTTTAATAATTCTTGTTTACGGAATATGCTGACTGATTTTCCCATACCGTTATGAAAATTCTTCCGCCAACGAGCATAAATAATTATACGAGTTACAGGCAATCGATAATCCTGCGCCATTCATTTGCAAAGCATAATGCATAAATTAATCGTGGCTAATATTATACGCTCGATACATCGACACGTCATTCAATAACATTTACCGCAATGCACATATTTAAATTACATTACAGTACGTTTGATCGACTCGGACGGTAAAAAAGGTGCGAATATAATAAATCGCTCTGCATAAACGATTTCAACCATCGTTCTAATTAACTTCGATTACTCGTTTACCTTGATTCGTCCTTTCACACGAGCGTTCTTTTTTTCCTTTCTTTCTTTCTTTCTTTTTTTTTTTTTTTATTTCATTCTCGCCAAATCACGTCATCGCACGTCCCTCGTTTCTATAAATGTCTCGGAACGGCGGAGAGACAGATCGCTCGCACGTGACTCGCCGTCCTCGTTTCCATCGAAACTTTCCAACCCTGGAAACAAACACGTCCGCTCCTGGATGAAAACGTCCGACAGGAAATATACTCGAGGGCGCGGCGTTTCGAATCGGACGGGTCCTTCGTAACGATTCAGGCGATATTTAAACAGGATAGGGAACACGCGAGAATAATTTTAAGGGTGTCGCCAACTCGTACACCTCTAATGGATAAAGGCTCGGTTTATTTTCTTCTTCTCTCTCTCTCTCTCTGTCGGAGGCTGTTACTGGATCAAAGTCATTTAACTCGGAGCGCGGACTGTTACAAAGGAGAGGAAAACGAGCAAACATGTTTCGATCAAAAGGGAATGTTTTGGCTAAGATTAGAGGGTATTATTCGGGGGAAGTTGGGGATCCGGATCGAGTGGAAATGGGGCGAAATCGGGAATACAGGTCCGGCTTCCTTTCCACGTTCAAGCATCGCTTTCTTTTTTGCACGTTTCTCGTCGAGCGAGAAGCGTGACCGAGGTGATTCCTTTCGGTGGGAATACATTTCAAGGTTCGTGGAATACACGCAGGAAACGACAGTTGGCGCAAAAGATTTTAGCATATGTCGAAATTCAAGCGACACGTGCATCGAAAAGATATCCAAGCCAAGGAAGGAACGAACGAACGAATGAATGAATATGCATTCCATTCACGGGGAATGGAATTCGTTGTTACGTTGACCGTTTGAGAAAGGCGCGCGCGCGCCTTCGAGAAGCGTGTGCAATTTCCAACAGGGCCGATTAAAATGCCGCGTCGAGAAAGGTATGTGGAAAATGCGTTTCGCCGGAACAAGTGTTTGCACAGAAATTACAGGCTTTCGATGTTAAATTGCCTTTATCGTCCAATCTATCTCGATTCGTGTAAGACAAATTTAAGACTCTCGCTCGTAGACGATTATCGATAACAGGGGAATGATCAAACTCCGGTATTGTGATGTTTCCGGTGATGATGCGATTTGATCGACCGATTCTCGATGGATGATAAAGGAAATCCCCGCAACAATTTCGATTTCGAAAAAAGAGGGGAAACACGCGACTCGTTGAGATTTATCATCGTATCGTCGTTGAAAAGGCAGAGCACGTTTGCTCCCATCATCGAGCGCATCAACAACTTCCGATCGAAATGGAATCACGAGCGAATGAATTAGAAAAATTATGCAATTTTCGCTGTGTGGCGATCAAAGTGAAAGAATTTACCGATATCGAACGCATTGTTTACTCTCGAAACTTCAATTTCAGGGAACAGGAAAACGTGGAAAAGGACACGTTCACTCGCGCGAGCGATAATGGAAAAAAAGGAACTCGTTGATTGGAATTCAATCCGAACGGAAGTTTTAGTTTTGAAGCTCGATAAAAAAGAAAAGAAAGGAAAAGAAATGCGTTTACAGTTGTGCTTCTTTTTTTGGTATGTAACGGTTCGATTCTCTCTAGCGTTAATATTAATCAGATACGGTCATCAACTGACTGAGACGTGTTCATTCTGGTCACACGCGCGAACGTTTAAACGCACTGCAAACTTTAACCTGGATGCTTTCCAGTGGTCAATTTCCTCTATCGACCGGCCGAGAATTTTTCTACTAAACGTCTGATCCAACGATGGCGCAACCATTGTTTTGACTGGAATTTACGCGTGCGATTTATTTAGCCAACTCGATCGAGAAAGAAGAATTTCAATTATTCGGTCGGGTGTCTTTATCCGCTTTAAAAGAAAAAAAAGATTTCTAAAGGGCGGAGTAAGAAATCATCCATTCGTCAAGATAGTTCGAGCGGAATAATTACTGGTAAGCAACGTGCTCGATTCCTCCTTCGATGCTATTTCGTTCAGGAATAGCGGGTTAAACGAACATGTTGAAAAAAAAAAAAAAAAGAAATCCGAGTTGCTCACAGATTTTACGCGCAGTTGCATGCGATATATTAAAGGAATCTCGTGATTTCCACCATAGCGACTCGAGTCATTAATCTCATGACTTATTCAACGCGTTGATCTGACCCGATATGTTGAATACAATTTAAAAATGAATTAAATACACGAGACGTGCAAAATAAAAAGAGGAGGCGTGTATTTGGCTTGGAGAAATTATTTTTTCTTTTTGTCTTCGTCGACCGAAGGATCGTTGAAATTCGAGAGAATTCGGACGGAAAAATGTTGAAATATCAAAACTCGTTTGGTGTGTATATATATATATATATATATATACGCGAAATATCGATGGCACCGTTTAACAGCGCTCCCGCTGCTGCTCGAAGCCTTTCGAAAGGCGTGCTCGTCCCCGATGATGATCGACAGCTGCGTGGGTTGCTAGGGAAGAGAACGAGTGAACGAGAAGGACACGGGATAGGAAAGGAAACGGAAAAAGAAGAAAAAAGAAAAACGGAAGCACAAAAAGGAGACGCAATTATGCAAGATCTAGTTGCGGCGATTTCCTCGGAAGTTGGAACGCGGAACATCAATACGTGGAACGTTACGGGGCTCGAAGCAGCCAAGAAGGCTCGAACCAAGTGTAAAAGATAGAGGAGGAGGAGAACGATGATCGAGATGCTTGTTTTCAACTGTCGTTTTTTTTTTTTTTTTTTTTTTTTTTTTTCTCACAACGTTCGAAGAATCCTCCTCGAGAAATATACACGGAGAGAATATCTATCTGTATGTGAGAATTTCCTATCGTTCCACTTCTCGCCATTCTCGGCTGTACGCGACTACCAACAGCTACACTCTCACGGAAACGTTACGGTTTTTCTCCATGGTAACGCAAAAACGAACGGCAAACCTTTCCTCCGCTCCGCCCTTGGCTTCTTATTCAATCAGCTCGCAAATATGTATCGATCGATCGGTTTATCGCTCTCCGACAAACAATTCGATAATAACTACTCGGTGACATCGATATAACCTCGATCGAAAATTAATATTGGATCATCGATTCGATCATCATCATTCCGTGTGTTACGATACGTGTTGTTATCTTGCCCGGGGATTAGAGATATTATTAAGAGAGAAGAAAGCTGAACGTGTCGTCGATGATCGATAATTCGAAGACACCAATAAAGTTTTTCTCGTTAAAGTACGTTCTTTCTTCGTACGTTCCACGAACGAGCGGCCGATACGCGGAAGAACGGTTATATTTCTACGTACGGTTGTCGTTTAAGTCGTATCGTAACGATCGTCGGCCGGAACGATGATAAATTTGCGTCCTAGGATGAACGACTACTTTACAATGAACCATTCTGTTAATGGGTATTCGCGCATGCGTCTGTTCCAGTGTTGCTCGCAAGTAATGGCCTGCAAGCAGAATCTAGGCTAGTGAGCTGCACCAGGGATGCAAGTAACTATTCCGACTTTCCGCCAGTCGCACTTTAAGCGTTGCATCAGCTGCAGCGTTTCACCGTTTCTCCCGTGAAATCGCAATCGTTCTCGATCGCGGACAATTTATCGCGATAGTGTGCCCGATCAAATTTTTAAAAACGTTCAAACATTCTCCGGTAGAACGTGACCAAGGTAGCGTGTTTTTCTTCTAAGGAATCGTCTCGAATTCACCTCGACGAGGCGAGGGAACGGAATGTGTAACTGGGGAAAAGTGGGACAAATAGCAGTAGTACGTCGAGTAGCGGTGCTATAACGCCGGTCAAATGGATACGATCCCTACGAAGGGATGCCGCGACGGAGACAGAAAGAGAAATAGAGAGAGAGAGAGAGAGATGAATAGCACGAATCACGAGATAAAGAAAATTTTATTTCGTATTCTCGTTTCGCGAAAATAATACGCGTGTATTATTTGATCAGATCGTTGTTGAGATTTATTTCGATTAAAATTTCGAATCCAAACGCATTCGACGTACTGCTTNATATATATATCTTTCCTTATCTGCCGTTGAGGATCGAAACGATGGCTGGGTGGTGGGAGAGGAGTGGGGATCGATTGTTTAAAATTTAATTTCATTCATTCGAATTTATAACCAATATCGAGCTTTTGTCGGTGTGGACGTGGGTTCAATGTCAGTGATATTTTTCAAGGTTCGGGACGACGAATGCCGGTGAATTCGGATACGCGACCGATTCGTACCTCCGGGGACCGACAAGTAACGAGCGAACGACCTAGGTTAGTTCAAGGCCATCACGTATAATTAACGTTTTTTTAAATCGTTCGAGGCTCGTATATTTTTCTAACCTGACCATGTATGTTGGTGATCGTGTATATTGACGTATTTTCAATGGAAACGGCAAATATCGTGGAAAAAAAGAAGATCGGCGGTCGAACGGTCACGATCGAACGATCACGATGTAACGACGAGAGAGAGAGAGAGAGAGAGAGAGAGAGAGACGGAATGGCGAGTAGAACGCGCATTGAAAGTGTCAAATATCGATATCCGTGCGAATGCGCACTGACCGAGTATCTCTCTCGTTGCAATGTGCGCGCGCACTAAAATACCCCCTCGTCGTACCTTAGTACCAGTCCACACCCCCGACGAAAACGATGGAATTATCGATCGCGTTGCTATTCGAGCCAAGAACATTTCGCTAGGCTGACGGCAACGTTGGGGACGCACGGTCTCTATTTTTTTTTTTTTTTTACCGAGGAAAGGAAAACGCATCGCGTTCGTTTCGATGTTGCAAAATGAGTCTGGGACCATCGAAACGTTGTGCTCCGCTACGTGTCGCTGAACTGTGCCTGTGATCTGTGCGATACGAGAAATTTCGCGAATATATAATCTCCGCCGATTCTCTGCCACACGACAGTGAGTAAATAAAAATCACGCCACGAGGATATTATATAGTTAGTTTTATCGGTGCACGAGACTTTCGATCCTGCATGGATTGGATATTATTAGCGTGAACTTTACCCTTCGGCTGTGCCAGATCGTTTTTAAACATGGGACGTATAGGTACGTCTCCTATCTTCTGACCTTGCGAGCAAAATTTTATCATCGCTACAATTATCGATGTTTAAACCGCCTTGGAATGAAATTTTCTCGTTTTTTTGCCGAGATAAACGAACCGTTTATACGATAACGGAAAAGCGTAACGATCGTAATTGGCGGATATAAAGATGACAGGTGCACGTTTCTCTGCAAGAATTCTTTATTTTATGCAACTGTTTTTTTATCGTACTCACTCTCGCTAATATAGATTCACACGCTATTCGAAATACCAAACGCATACTATTCACACTGTTATTCGGATAATTTCATTAAATTGAATGAGATGAACAGATTCAGAAATTTGTATAATTTGAAACTTTTGTCACGAATAATTAAGTTTAAAAAGATTGATAGCAAAAATTAAGCGTAATTTCATCATACGCGTTTTTCTCTTTGTACGGTATAATATTTTACGAAAAAAGAAAAGAAAAAGGAATTTATAATTTTTCGTATATTTTGCCTATATATTACCTTGGAACATTCGATTAAATCAAATCGAATTTATTTCACGTTGCACTCGAGTAGCAAAAGCTTAGCTAGTGAAAGCGCCGACAAAACCAGTTTAGAACGAAATGTCAATATTGTTATGCTCGGTAAATAAAATCGAGAATCATCAAGCTCGATAGCGAACGACTTTGATGATTCTTCGAAAAAGAAAGCGCGAAAAGATAGATACATTTTTATCGAATATTCATCGCAGAAATTGTACGATTTATACGATCGAAGATTAGACGTGAAAGTTTATCTCATCTATGTGTCGAATAACAACTACTATTATCCGGTATGCAGTGGTACGTTCGTGCAGGAAGTGATATGCATTCCAATACATTTGTTCAACGGCACATTGACCGAGAGTGCTATAGATTTCTCTTCTGTTCTTTCTTTCTCGTTGGCCAACACACGTTTGCAGGCTTGCATACTCTTGCAACGCGGCAACTCACTCGAAGCATATCACATTGTTTACAAACCACAAAGAGCTATTATCTATGCTAAATCGTGCGTAGCATTGGTAACTAAACCTGTCATACACACTTGCGAATCCTTTTTCTTGTTTTTTTGTACAGCATGTCACCTTCGAGCGTATGTTTATCTTTATATTTTACTCTCCTATCGTATTTGTCATAGTTCTGTTTTATTACGTTACGAGTAGTAGCTCTCCGCTTGAGGCGATAATCTTCGTGAAAGGAACGTTTTCTTTCTCTTTTCTTTTTTTTTTTCACTTTTCTTTTCTTCTCCATTTTTCTTTCCGTCCCTTCTTCTTCTTCTTCTTCTTCTTCTTCTTCTTCTTCTTCTTTTTTTTTTATACACAAATTTAAAATCTAAATCTGTGAAGGGCTCGACTCATGATGCAATATCCAAACATCGATATACAAGAGGGGAGAAGGATTCGTAGCGTGCGAAGAAGACTTTTTCAAGACGACGATGACGATAATGAAACGGAATCGGGGCGAAATTCCCGTATCGAGGACAATGTTGCCAATTGTTTTTTCGAAGAGGCTCGAAAATACCGAGAGAACGTACGTAACGAGTAAAATAGTAGTTTACTTTGTTTTACTATGACCGTTATTACGAAACTGTACGATTCGTTTGAATGTAGGCTAAGGAGAGGTGGAACTTCGACTTCGAGAAGGAGGAACCTCTACCCGGTCGTTACGTATGGGTGAAGCTTGATCAACACGGAAATGAAATTCGTAATCCGTTGGAGACGAACAGCCGAGTAGAAAATATACAAACGATGCAGGAAGAAGACACACAAGATGATGACGTTACGATGCAAGATCATGCAGAGGATAAGGATGACGATAAAATGACCGATAGTACGTGAGCAGAGAAAGAGAGAAAGGGAAAGAGAGAGAGAGAGAGAAAACAATAACAAAATAAAACGTAGTAACAAAATATAATTTTGCTCATCATAAATTTTGGTAAAAGGGAAAGTGATTCCTTTTTTCAAACTACAATTTATAAGTAAAAGTTAAAAAAAAATCGATGAAATTGAAGTCAGAAGAAGATCAAATTGAAAATTGTGAAGATGTTGATTACAGAAAAAGGTATTAATTTGACTTCTAGTCAGAATAGACGCTCTTTA